CCACCCACTCTCTCCGGAGGCCCCGCCCCTTCCCGGCCCCGCCATTCCCATTGGTCGTTGTCTTCCCGAATGAGACCGCCTCTTTCCCCCGTTCGGCCTACCCTCTCCGTCAGGCCCCGCCCCCTCATGGGTCCCGAGCCCCGCCTTTTTTCCGCCCCCCTTTCCGTCTCCCGGGGTGAACTTTCCTCACCGCTTCAATACACGACACTTCCGTGTAGGCCTTCACACGTGTTCGCCCCTTCCCCCCAGTTTCAAAACGCGGATCCACAGAAGCAGTCCCACCACCCCTCAACCACCCGGCTTCTTGTTTACTTCTGCCCGCGCATTTGTTTTATATCTACGGCGGCTCTTCCGGCGCTGTTTCTATGGCGATGCTTCTAGCATAGTTTTCAGTAACCAGTGTTAAACAGTGCTTATTGTAGGACATTGACCCCATGTTTACCTCCCTACATTGTCTACTCATGAATTCTAGCTCTCCCATTTGGATCCACATAATACATGCCTTGCCCATCTTTTCATGACAATCTTTCTTATATTTCAAGATTATTGCTATCATAAATAAAAGTACCCAGTGCTTTTGACTATTTGTTAAACATTATATTCTCACCCCAAGCATGGCTGCAGCTGTTATGTATCTGTTGTGTTTTGCATGTCATGCAGCTATTAAAGGCACAGGACCCGCCCCCTCATGCGTCCCGAGCCCCGCCTTTTTTCCGCCCCCCTTTCCGTCTCCCGGGGTGAGCTTTCCTCACCGCTTCAATACACGACACGCCCGTGTAGGCCTTCACACGTGTTCGCGCCTTCCCCCCAGTTTCCAAACGCGGATCCACAGAAGCAACCCCACCACTCCTCAACCACCCGGCTTCTTGTTTACTTCTGCCCGCGCATTTGTTTTATATCTACGGCGGCTCTTCCGGCGCTGTTTCTATGGCGATGCGCGTGACGTCGCCGCGCCGGAGACGTCACTTCCGTCGATAGCGGGCCGAAGGTTGAGGGGGGGGAGGCCGGCTTCTACTGTACTCCGAAGTCCCACAGCGGCCCTTGGTGGTTGGTTTGGGAACTGCACAAAGGAGCCGGTGAAGGATGCTGATCCCTCATTGGCAGAGGGTGCACGACAACCTTGCAGGGTTGTTAGGCTATTGTGTGCCGCCAGGTCGCCTCCAGCTCACGCCGATCCTATGAATGAGTGACCTCCAAACTGCCGTGTCCTCAGCTGCTCTGAGGACAAACTCCATCTTGTGGTTTCCTTTAGGGGAGTCCATCTCACATTGGGCGTCTTCCTCTTTTCCTGCTGCCTTCCACCTTTTTCCAGCATGGCTCCTGCTGCCTTCCACCTTTTTCCCAGCATGGTGGTCTTTCCCAGAGAATCCTGCCTTCTCAGGATGTGCCCCAAACAGGGACAGCCTCTGCTTCAACTTTTTTTTGTCCCCAGAGAGAGTTCAGGCTTGATTTGATTTAGGACCCCCTTGTTCATCTTAATGGCAGTCCAGGGTATCCCCAAACCTTTGCAGTGTAGACCACTGTGAAGACTACAGGTTGGGATGAGAGTGGAAGGGCAGCTTATGTACCTCGCAGCTTCCTTTGCCACTTTCGCCCGCGCCCTGTAAAGATTAGGAGGGCTGGCCAGACACGGACACATGTTCTTCTTGGTATGGGCCCCGAAGTCTTCTCCGAGTGATCACAACCCTCTGAATCAGTGACCCTGAAAACGCCCTGCGTTTCAAAGCCCGGCTGGAATCTTGCAGACTCAAGCCTGTGGCTTTCTCTGTGGAGCTAATTCATCTCATACTCGGAAAGGTTAATGTGGTCGTGGTGTATAAATCCCAGAATGGGGGGATAAAGGGAGTTGTAGTCAGAAAGGGGGAATAATGGATTAATTTGGAATGTGGTGCTGGAGAAATGCAGATATCCTGGACTTCCAGAACAAAACAAGGAGTTCCTAGAGTAAATCAAGCCTGAATTCTCTCTGGAGGCAAAAACATATGTTGAAACCGAGGCTCTTCTGCTTTGGGCACCTCATGAGAAGGCAGGACTCTCCGGAAGAGACAATAATGCTGGGAAAAGTGGAAGACAGTAGGAAAAGGGGTAGATCAAATACATAATGGACAGACTCCACTAAGGAACCATGACTTTTGAGGTGGCAAGAGCTGAGCAGTTGAGGGCAGGAGATTTCATTGACAGGCTCATTCATAGGATCGCCATAAATTGAAGGTGACTTGCTTGCACGTAACAAAAGACTATTTCTCTTGCTACTTAGAACTGAAAAGAGAGTGGCATTGACAAAACGCCTTCAAAATGCCCTGGAAAATAACTTTTGAGAGTAACTCTTCCTCATTACACCTAGTAAGTAAATTATAGTTTATCTATCTATCTATCTATCTATCTATCTATCTATCTATCTATCTATCTATCTATCTATCTATCTATCTATCTATCTATCTATCTATCTATCTATCTATCTATCTATCTATCTATCTATCTGTAACTTATTTATGACACTTCTAATTGTTACTTTATTTTCCACACAAAAAGTAACAATTAGTTCATAACACCCAAAAGTAACTTTGCTCTCTGTAAATGGTGATTTTCAAGCTCTGGGGTTTTGCTTCTATAAGGCCAGCTTTGCAGGGTGAAAAAGAACCGCTTGTCATCAGGCCAACTCACACAGCAGGCTTTATGCCATTTTCTCCCATGCCAACCAGGGACAATGGGATTTGTAGTCCAGCACACCTGGAGGACACCAGATTGGGAAACAATCCAGGAAAGATTTCGTAAGACTGAGACCAACGTTAACAGGGGCGTTGCTTTGACATCGCTGGCCTCTGAACGCCGGATCTGTCCATGGCCAACGGCAAGCTTGAACTTGTCCATTCATGCAACCAAATAAACTCTTACGGCCTGCTTTGAGTTAAAAACCATTTTATTCGCAAATAAATACCTATATCAGTGGGAAAAAAAGAATCACAGAATCCATTTGGCTTTGTTGATTTCCATACAGTTTAAAAAGTAGCACGGTTCCTTGAATCCCACACATAGTCCTTTACACAGTGGTCCCCGGGCTGGTTAAAATCTCATCATCAGCCATGCGTCTCTCTCGTTTTTGGCTCATGTTTGTGAAGTTTTAATGAAACGGTTCTGTTTCATAACAACAGCAGGCTTTTCTCTATGTGTGCCTGCCTTTCAATAAGTGACCGGTGCCGCTTGGTGCATTTTGCAGTGCGTAAGACTTCTTCAAGCTATTCCATCCCATTCTCAAATATATGTCTGACGATAAATTCCTGAAACACGCAAGATTCCGACTTCCAAAAATCCACAAAAACTATCCCAATCAGTGTTGCAAGATGATTTCTGGAAAAAGGATTTCTCTCCAACCCCCCACCCCAAATCCATACAAAATTAACATTCCCCAAACAAAGACCAGGAAGAGAGAGAAGTATTTGGTAACGCTGCAAAATATTTGTAATTTTTCTTCTTCTTCTTCAGAAAAAAAGCTCTAAGTTCTGTCTTTGTGATGTGATTCTTTGCCGCCACCATCACAGGGGCGTGAGCACTCGAGTGAGTTTCAGTGTATATTTTTACAATTAAAAAATAAAATGTCACAGTGAGGAAAACAGAGCAATTGCTACAAAAATTTTTTGGGGGGGGAGCCCGACAGTCAGGGGTGGGCACAGGGGGTGTCGCTGTGGGTGGCAGGATGACGAGGCCAGGGTATATAATCTTGGCCGCCGGAACTAAGAAGGGTGCCAGCATGTGGCCATGTGCAGAAAGGAAGGAAGGAAAATGGGGGAAAAGTCAGAAGACGGCCTGATCGCTTTGGACGGAAAGACAAAAGGCGAAACGGACGGCCCGTTCTGTACATGGAGGGCGACAGGGGCCGGAATCATGGAAGCCGAGGCAGATTATGTACGGAAAAGATGTAAGGGAGTCGTTAGCAAAAATTTGTGGCCAGAACAGGGGTCGTGAAAAGAGAGACAGGAAGCAGTGGTGAATGAGTGGTAGGATGATCTCTGTAACTCAGTGGACAGCAGCGGATAGATAAGAGGTGATCCCTTCTGATCATAAACGTTTCTGGGTCATTCCCTCCATTGCCCCTGCTGTGGTTTTGGGTCATGCCAAGAACCCTGATGGGCCACAGTTTTTGCTTCACCCTGCCAGTCCTTGTGGCATCGTATAATTAAGACAGTCCATGGTCACAAAAGACGTGGCTCAGACGGGTCTGCCCGTTCGTCCTGCCCCGGGAGCTGCAGGTGACCCCCGGGCATTGGGGGCACCTCGGGGATCGGGCTGGCGCGATGGGGAGCCCCGGGCAGGGGAACTGCGGGCGTTCGCTGGACCGCT